GATCCCCATATGTCAAAGGCAACAGATTGAAAAGTCTTTTTTTCCCCTTCTTTTCCTGATAAAGAGTAATAAATTGCTGCCAGTAGTATTGCTTTTTGCTAATGCGAGCTGTTTTGGACCGCTTTGTTCTCTGAAGTTGTGCCGTCTGCGGTATAAAGCGCAAATCTATCTTTTTGTGCCTGCCTCCATTGTTTTGCAGATTACAGATTTGTGTAATAGGCATTGTGATGGCTAAAACTGCGCCTGGAAAACATCTTGGAGAAAATGAATTAATTTGCAATGAAACTGTACTGCACAGCACATTATACCGGCTATTGTGTACTAGAGGCTGTAATGTCTTCCCAAGTTGTTTTAAAGACCTATCCGTCCCCCGCCTCACCCCCCCCACCACCCCGCTTTATGCAGTGCAAGTCCTTCCTTTAAAATATTACGGAACTGACACAAGCTGTTATTTACCCTGACAAGGCAAACTGGGTTTTAAAGAGCGAACACAGAGTAATCATTGCAAGACACACTTGGAAGTTGTAATCACACCCAACTGTTTTGTAACTAATTTATGCTTTTTCCTAACTTCTGTTTATTGACTTTTAGTTTCAATTAGAGGATATAAACCTTATGGCGTACTGAAGTCTAATACATCAGTAACTAACAGCTGCATATATTCCCCCCCCCTTTACTTAGGCCAATGGATAAACAAGCACAATCAGCTTAATAAACTGGAGTAGCTTAGCGGGAACACTGGTTGGATCCAAAGAACTGCAAGCTGAGCTCTAGTCATGGGATAGATTTTTCATGCCTCTTTCTGTCTTCTTCTGAAATCTGGAAAGCTGCTCCTGAGGTCTGAGATACTGTGGGATGTGAGTGCAGGCAGCTGCTGTCTGAGCAGGGAACTGAACACCCTTCCTTCCTGCTTACGCAAGGACAGCTGTGCATCAATCCCATTGTAATACCTGGTAAAATTCGATAAGCTGTGAAAATGTGCATCGTCTGCTGTGAAAAGAGGTCATCGGCTGATGATGCAACAGAGAGCAAGATCCATTCCTCTAGGAGAGGTGCTTTCCATGAACAGGAAAAGCTTTCCCCCAACAAAGGAGTCTCCAAACACCTCACATCAGTGGAAGGCTCTTCTTGCCGAAGGAAAGCAGCTCCACAAGCAGAACAGACCCACAGGCTACAATCGTACGTATACAACATCTGGGTCAATGTCATGTATAGGTGGACGTCCAGACCAATGTTCCCTCTAAGCTGTGGAGTCTTGTGAGCAAAAATTCTACTTTGTGAGCTGCTGGCATTAAAGTTGTGAGCGAGCGATTTGGCGACTGCATCAATTAGTTTGCTCTGGAGCCATCCTTCCTGAGAGAGGACAAAACTGTGTGAGCCGGAGGCTAAAAAACTGTGAGCTAGCTCACACTAACTCAGCTTAGAGGAAACAGTGGTCCTGACTCTGACTTAAGACCAGCACTACACAGGATTGTGAGCAGTGTTCCCTCTAAGCCAAGTTAGTGTGAGCTAGCTCACAGTTTTTTAGCCCCCAGCTCACACATTTTCACCATAGTTCAGGAAGGATGGCTGCAGAACAAACTAATTGATGCAGCTGCCAAATGGCTCGCTCACCACTTGAATGCCAGTAGCTCACAAAGTAGAATTTTGGCTCACAAGACTCCACAGTTTAGAGGGAGTATTGGTTGTGAGGGATATACACAAAACTCTGACTACTACATTTGGTTTTTGGTCATTCTTACCTTGTGAAGAACACGGCGACTTGATTAATTGTATTTCTTTTTTAATTCCCTGCTGACAACCAGGAGGCCTCTCTGTTTTGCCCACGAATCCTTCATGGAGAACCGGGGCTAGAAGTCTGTGGTTTGTGATGGAATGCCATGGGTAAGGTTGCCAACCTCCAGGTGGCACCTGGAGATCTCCTGGGAATTGATCTCCATGGATCAGTTCCCCTGCAGAAAATGGCAGCCTTGGAGTGCGGACTCTGGGGCATTATACTCTGCCGCGGTCCTTTCCCTCCCCAAACCCTGTCTTCCCCAGCCCCCACTTATAACATCCGCAGGTGTTTCCCAACTCAGAGCAGGGAGCCCTTGCCATGGAAGGACGGAGATGAGCTTTTTAACTGAAAACTGTATAAGAAGTGATGGCCTGGAATGGGGAAGGCAATTAAAAAATATGGACCAATAAGGGGGGGGATGGAATAAGGAGAGACGAGGGAGGGATGAATCACTTCTGCTGTTATTTTTTGAATTACCCGTGCACACCCTCATATTT